TAGTTGTTGAAGGATTTGGGCATTTGCTTCTTCTCGGCATTCCGACGGATCAAGACGGCCCAAGAGGCCCCAAAGATCGCCCAAAAATCGCCCGGGAGGGCTCCAAGAGGGCCTCAGGGCTGAGGCCCCCAAGACAGCCCCAAGAGGGCTCCAAGACGGCCCAAGAGACCTCCAAGACGCCCAAGATGGCCTCTAAGACGGCCCTGGAGCACCCCAAGAGGGCCCCAAGTCGGCCCAGAAAGGCCCCCCTCACGGCTTCCGACGGCGTCAGACGGGCCAGGAGCTCACCAAGGTGGCCGAAGTTGGCTCGAAGCTTGCCCAAGACGGCCCAAGAGGTCTCCAAGAGGGCCTCTAGGAAGGCCCGAATAGGCCAAAAACACTCATTATACGTGAGTGTTTGAAGGATTGTGGCATTTGCTGTTTTTTTCGGCCTTCCGACGGCCCGAGACAGCCCAAGAGCCCCCAAAGATCACCCAAAGATCTCCCAAAATGCCTCCAAGATGGCCCTAGAACGGCCCAAGAGGCCCCCAAAACGGCCCAAGGGGCTTTTAAGACGCCCAAGATGGCCTCCAAGACGGCCCTGGAGCATTCCAAGAGGGCCCCAAGTCGGCTCAGAGAGGCCCCCCAAACGGCTTCCGACGGCGTCGGACGGGCCAGGGGCCCACCAAGACGGCCGAAGATAGCACTAAGATTGCCCAAGACGGCCCAAGAGGCCTCCAAGAGGGCCTCCAGGAAGGCCCGAAAAGGCAAAAATCTGTGATTTCCCGTGAGTTTTTGACGGATTGTGGCATTTCCTTTTTTTCTGCGTTCCGACGGCTCGAGACTTCCCAAGTGCCTGCAAAGATCGCCCAAGAGGCCCAAGGCGGCCCCAAGAGGCGCCCAAGACGGCCCAAGAGGCCTCCAAGACGCTCAAGATGGACTCCACGACGGCCCAAGAGCCCTCCAAGACGTCATCCAAGAAGGCCTTCAAGGGTCAAAATGGCCTCCAGGCGGCCAAGATAACCTTCAAGATGCCCACGTGTTCCCCGAAGGCTTTCCAAACCGATTCGGGGAACACATGGTCCGATACCTTGGCAGGTCTGGCCTCAACGTTCGGCCACATAGGCGCTTCCAAAAAGGCAGGGGGCGGCAATGATTCGCCGTAGGCGTCTTCGATTACCAACTGCCCCTCATCAGTACACTTACCTGTCCTCCTCCTTCGAGATCTCCTCGCGGCGTTCGGTGCTGTTCTCCAGGTTGATGTAGAAAATCTTGCCGATGGGATGCTGCAGTGCCTCGAAGCACCAGCTCGCAAAAACGGCCCGTCTAGGGCACTTGGCGTCACCAGGCTTTCAAACATGTCACCGAGAGGAGAAGGAAATGACACGGAGGAACCAATGAAGTACTCCACCACCGTGCCTACACGGGATGGGCATGTTAGAGTGCGTCTCTGTTGCCTGGACCTCATCGCGCGCGTGGTTTGAAAACCGCCCCACCTGAAATTGCTCTCTGGCGGGTTTGTCGGCCTTCAAGACGGCCCGAGATGGTCCAAGACGACTCAAGAGGCTCCCCAAAAGGCCTCGAGACAGCCCTAGAGGCCTCCAAGACGGCCCAAGAGGGAACCTCGAAGAGAACGAGGAAACATAAACCATGAAGTTCCCGCCGGAATTTGTTTGAAGGATTTCTAGGTTCCCACCTGTCTGTGTTTGCGACCGCCCAAGAAGCCTCCAGCGTAGCTCCAAGACGGCCCAAGAGGCCCCCAGTCGGCCCAAAAGGCTCCTGAGAGACCCCCAAGAGGCCCCCCCCAAGAGAGCCCCGAGAGGCCCCCAAGAGGCCCCAAGACGCCCAAGAAGACCCCAAGAGGCACCCAAGACGCCCCCAGAGTGTCTGAAGACCGCCCGAGAGACATCCCGAGAGACTCCCCGAGCTCTCCCCGAGATTTCATCTAACAAGCCTCTGGCCTACGGAGGCTCCCCGAGCTCTCCAAATCATACCACACTCTCCCAATAAGGGCAGCTTCCCTTGGCATCGTTCCTGGATGGGCTAGTGGGGATGCGCGAAGCGCTAAGAATTCAAAGTCCTTCTTCATGCGCTGTTGCGCAGGCATGGTGGCGGGGCTTGCCACAGGCAGCTGGATAGCATGTGTGGGACGTGAGGGAGACAGGAGAGAGGTGGTTGGCAAGCTAGGTGCGCTCGCGTCATATCTGACGTCATGCCCCTCCCTCCCAGCCCTTACCATGGCGTAGATTTCCTCTCCAAATTGGCCGAAAATACAAAAATGTAGCCAACGATGAGACGAGAGTGCCATCATGGGAGAGCCGGAAGGTGGTCGGAGAAGCAAGCACAATGGGGGGGGGCAAGGGGCCATACCTCGAGAGATGTCCACACGTTGCACACAACATCGACTCGCACTACGCTGCGGCCGGACCCAGGACAGGAGAACCTCCTTCAAGAGCATGAGGCCCTCCGCCAACCAAGCAAGAAGATCAATCGAAGGTACCCGCCCCCAGGATGGACAAGAAATCCATCCGACGAACAAAAAGAACATTAGGGTACCCCTCCTCCTCCTTCTCCTCCTCCTCCTCCTCCTCTTCCCTCGTCCTCCCTCCTCCTCCTCCTCCTCCTCCTCCTCCTCCTCCTGTCCCCGAACCGACCTTGGTCTTATACCTCCGTCCGACCGGACACTGCACTGCCCGTGCATCTTTCAATCGCACTGCACCATGAACTGCGCCTGGTGCTGTCACGGTGCACCTCCTTGTGCATGGCAATGTCCCAAAACAACCGCTGTGTCACACAACACTTCAAGTTTGCTGCCTCTGCGATTGCAAAACGATGCTCGAATGGAGCCCAGGAAATGGACTTGGAAGCAATGCCAAGCGTGAGGACTTGCAATTCCACCATCTGTTCGCAATTGCGGCTAACAAGGAAGGTGGGTAACCGCATGCCGACGATGATAAAAAGACCCTCCCCCCTTAAGTCTTCTATCTGATTATCCCTGGGGCTGAATGTGGAAAAATGCCACAACAGGCGGGGAGGCCGAAATTTTTATCACCCCCAACGTTCATATCGTAGCTCTGATTTACATATCATGCATAGCACAATGAGAAGTCCTATGTTCAATTGTGTGGGAATGTCTCCTTGGTGGGTAGACTAAAAGTGTCCACACGTGTCTCGCCGAGACCTTGAATTACCAAAGCACGTCGGCGCAAATGTATGTCCCCCCTAATTCAAAGTTGACGGATGTGTGCGGTAGGCCAAAGGCCAGGGACAAAATGTGGGCACTTCAACTTTGGGCTTGCAGGGTAGGGGTGCGAAGCAAGGGCATTTCGCAGTTGTGGTTGTTATCATGTTGCATCGCCTTACTGCCATGGGTGTGGACACTTTTTGTCGGGGCACCAGCGGTAGGCCAAAGGCCAGGGAAGAAATTGGGCACTTTGGGTCTGGGGGGAAGGGGTGCGAAGCAAGGGCATTTCACAGTGGTGGTTCTTAGCATGTTGCATCGCCTTACCGCCATGGGTGTGGACACTGTTTCTCCGGGCACAGGAGATGAACGCGCATTTTCGAAAGTCGTCACATGCGCGACTATCAGCTTTTCGAGGAGGTCTCAAATGGAACGCTTAACTTTGTACAAGGCAGGCGTTCATAAAAGACACTGTCGCGAACATCCTGACACCGATATCTCCGGGGAAACTATGATCCTTCCTGGTCCCCGAACTTTATCATCTCTCAGGGATTATTCTCGCTAGCACAGGGTTAGCACAGCAAGGGCCCCACCTTGAACAAATACTAATCAAAACACCGCATAAGGCACCAAGACTGGTACCAGCAATATTTTGGGCATGTCGTTAACGGCGCACGGGTTGTAATCATCGCAAGGACAAGGCTGCATCATCCCCCAGGGAACAACGACGTCCATCACCTGCAACGCCCAGCAGGGCAGAAACCACAAAACAGGAAAGTTGTGCTGACACAGCCAGGGCGAGCCATTCTGAGAATCTTCTGAGGGCGGGTTGAAACAACGAATGGACACGACCCTGTACGGCGACCTGGTAGTGGACCCGAGAGGTTCGGATCACACGGCCTGGAGCTAGAATAAAGGTCTCCCAGATGGGATCAGAGCAGGTGGGGTCGGGTGATCGTGCCGCATCGTCGATGCATCACCGATGCATCGGCGATACACCAGCGATACATCAGCGATGCATTGTCGACATCGGTGATGCGACGCCGTCATGCAGAACAGCGGGTCCCACATCGAGCCGCCTCGACGATGCATCGGCGACGCGGCGCATCGGCGATGCGGATCGACCCTCCGACCCTATCTACTAAGACCCCATCCGAGAGACCTAAATTGAATGACTACGGAACGCAGCTGGGGGTAGGCTTGGAACGATACTGGACTGCTCAAGGCGTGTCTTTTTTTCGATGCGCACGCATAATGTAAGTATTGGTCGGGCTGTGCCGATCGAGGTAAAACCCGTCGGATTGGACAGGGCCACTGGGGCACTCCGCCTCTGGAAGAGTGACAAACAAGCTACGAGCAACCGTGCCAGCTTGTGCATGTACGTGATGAAAATTATCGAGGAGCCCAGGAGCACGCAAAGAAATAGACGCAAATCCCAGGATCCCCTATATTTTCCAAGATGTTCTGGGTTTTTGTCTCCCCCCCCCACTTCCCATATTTTCCAATATTTTCCTGGGAGTCGACGATTCACTGTGTCTGTGCATTCGTCCCCCCCTGAAACTTCTGCATGAACCGTGGGGTGCTGTGCTCGGCGCGCCGCGCCGCGCGCGGCGCCGCCGCTGGGCCCCTGCTGCTCGACGGCCTCTTCGTGGGCCGCCCCTGGAAAACTATAGACAAGCAACGACGGGCATCCTGCTGCTTTACGGCCTCCTCGTGAGCCGCAACGGCGAGCCACCGCGCCAGCTTCGTGCATGTCTGTGGTGCGAATTCTGCAGGACGATCGGGGGAGGGGAACCGCTTGTGGAATCCTCCTCCGGGGCCCCCTGTGGACCTCTCCCCATCAGCCCAGCTCGCAGGACGGCGCGCCGAGCCGCCACGCCTCGGGGCGGGAGCTGCCCCACCTGCAGGCGACGCAGTCGCTGCTGCAGAGGCCCAGCACGTGCTCGGACAGCACCCCGCCCGCGCCACCCTGACCGCACAGCTCCCGCAGGCGGGCACGCCTCTGCGCGCGGCGCCGCCGCAGGGCCTCCTGCTGCTCGACGGCATCCGAGGCCGCGCCCTGCTCGAAGTCACAAGCAGAGGCGGCGGAGTTGAGCTCGCAGTCCAAGTCCGGCGGCGCGTCAGGTTCCACGCGTCCACAGGCAGGAGCCCTGGGCGGGGACTCGGCCAGCGGCCCACGAGACGACCGCGCGTACCGCCGAGCAAGGCGCGGCGCGCACGCCGCGGAGCGACGGACCGGCGGTGCCACCGCCCTCGGGGCCCGCAGCGCGGGGCGCGGGTGCCTCGAGTGCGGGGGGGCCGTGGACGCCGTGGACGCGCACGTGGACGCGGCGTCGACCTCCTTCCATGGGCCTGTCTTCCACCAGCTCCACCACAAGTTGGAGGAGGAGGAGAAGGAGAAGGAGGAGGAGGAGGAGGGAGGACGGCGGAGGAGGAGGAGGAGGAGGAGGACGAGGACGAGGAGGAGAAAGGAGGAGCAAGAGGAGGAAGAGGAGGGGGAAAAGGAGGAGGAGGAGACGGAGGAGGAGGATCAGGAGGAGGAGGACCCCCTGCCCCTCCTACTCACGGTGGTGGCCGTGGAAGGCAAGCCCACCGTCCTTGCCGCCCGCCGGGCACGGGCAGAGCAGCGCGGGCCAGACGGGGCGCGGGCCGCCGCCCGCCTCCGCGCCGCGAAGCTCGGCGGGGCCCGCCACTTCCGGGCGGGCCGCGGGGCCGGGGGCCATGCTGCGCCGCGTCGGAGCGCCGCGTGCCGCCGCCGGGCGAGAAAAAAGAAGCGGCGGACCCAGACAGGACTGCGTCGTAACAAGATCAGGGCGGCAAGCTTTTCGTTCTGTCCGGCCTCGGGGGGCCCTCGCCGGGCCCCAGAACTGTCAAAAAACGACCCGGGATGAAAAACCGGCCCTGGGCAAAGGGTCTGGACTTCCGGGGACGCCGTCCTGAAAAAATCAGGACGTCTCATGTCTGGGGTGCAAGAGAGAGAGAGAGAGAGAGAGAGAAAGAGAGAGAGAGAGAGAGAGCTCGGGCTGAGAGTCTGGAGCCAAAATACAGCTGCGGAGGACCGCCGAAGGCGTGTCCTGGGAGCCTGTCGGAGGCTCCTGGGCGAGCCTGGAGGCGCGTGCTCGGGGCGACGTTGACCCCCTGGGTTCGAGGAACAAAAATATGTACACGGTCGGGAGCTTCTGGACAGCGTGTCGCCACGGCGGCCCCGGCGACGCGCCACGCCTTGCGAGTGATTCGCATTTCATTCCACTTCGAAGGATGGGGGGTTTCGTCCGAGTCGACGAGCTGAAGGCAGCACGCACGGTGCAGATGCCTGCGCTCTCGGCATCTCGGATGCAGGCTGGGCGTTCTCCTCTTGACAGCGTGGGCCTGTCAGCGCGGGTCTGGGCTCCTTGTTAAGCCGTTCGTGCGCCGTGGAGGGTCCGAGCAACTCCTGTTTGGGGATGACTTGGGGCCGTTGTGGTCCCTCGTGGAGCCGCCTTGAGTCTTCTTGGGGCTGGACTGGGTCTGTCTTGCGACTGCCGCCGCGGGCCGGCTGGGATCCGTCCTGGGCCATCTTGGACCTAGGACCCACCAGTGGGTCATGGGGACTCTTGGGCTGGCCGCGGGCTGTCTTAAGGCCACAGATGGGGCGAGTACGCCTTCTGTAAACATCTATAAATATACTAGAACCATCGCGCGCGCTTCGCGCGCGCTCAAGTTCTAGCTAGGGTCATGATCATCGTCATCATTGTCATCCTCATCCCCGTCATCTTCATCGTCATCGTCAAGGTCATGGTCACTTTCACCATCACCATCACAACAATCATCATCATCACCAGTCTCATCAGCATCGTGATCACCATCGCCATCACTTGTCAGCATCATCATCCGCATCATCGCCATCTTGTTGGTCGTCGTCGTCGGCGTCGTCGTCGGCATAGTCATCGTCATCATCATCAGCGTTATCGCCGTCATAATCCCCGGTCCACTGCAGTCCCCTTCCCCTCCTCCTCTTCCCGTTCTCCCTCTTCCCATAATCCAATACTCATCCCTTTCCTCGTCGGCGTCTCCCTGAAAGGGATCCCTGTTCCTTCACATCCTCCTTCTCCTCCTCTTCCTCCTCCTCCTCCTCCGTCTTCCCCGCTGTTCGGTGTGTCCCTCCTTGTGTTCCTTCACCTATTCCTCCTCTCGAGCCCTCTTCATCCTGCGTTCTCCTTCCCTCCTCGTCCTCAGCGTCCCTCCCCGAGCCAGAGAATCAGAAAACAAGACAAGCTTACAAGAACAATGTCCCTCCTCCTCTTCCACCTCTTCGTCCTCCTGATCTTCCTCCCCCTTCTCCTCCTCTTCCTCCTCCTCCTCCTCCTGCTCATCCTGCTCCTCCTCCTCCTCCTCCTTCTCCTTGTCCTCCCCCTCTCTTCTCACAACGCACCCCGTACACGGGTGCCTACTGGAACGCGTGCCGGGAGCCTTTTTTCGAAGCATGGCGGCAGTCTCTGGAGCTATCTGGGCCTCCCTTTGGAGTCATTTGGGGCATTTGTTGGCCCGTCTGAGGGCCCATTTCGGCCGTTCCGGGTCTCCATTGGCTCGTCGTGGGGGGCTCAGCACGTCTTTGGGCCCTTCTGGGCCCGACCATGTAGGAATCCTCTGGTGGCCCCCTCGGGCTCCCTGGGGGCTCGCCGTCTGCAGCTCTTCGCGCGCCCCGCCTAGCTCCTAACCGGAAGAGGCCCGCTCTCGACCCGCCGACCAAAAGAGTGCCGCCCGAAGCTCTCTTCAGCCCATCTTGGAACCCACTTTGGGGCCCCTGGGGCCGTCTGGGGCCCGTTTGATAACCTCCTGGGCCGTCGCGACCGCTGGTAGAACTGAACAGCGAAGCTCCCAGAAGTATACGTTGTTCTAGAGGAGATGCTTGATTTTCGCCTTCGGAGGACCTTCTCAGCGGCCTCTTGGACAGTCGTGTGGGGGTCCGTTTGGGCGTTTTGTGGCCCGTCTGGGAGCCCATTTCGGCAGCCCTAAGCCCCTCTTGGCATGTCATGGGTAGCTGAGCCGTCTTGGAGCCCGTATGGAGCCCTCTCCGACCATGCAGGGATCCTCCAGTGGCTCCCTCGGACCCCCTGCGGACTCTCTCGGGCTGTTTTGGACCTCTCTTGTGCTGCTCGACGTTCTCTTGGGGCTGTCTTGGAGCCCTCTCGGGGACCTCGTGGACAGTGTGGCGCCGATTTTCGTAACGTTTGGGGCCGACGTGGCCGCAGATGGAACATAAGAAGCGAATGTCCTAGAAATGTAACTACGCTTTCCTATGGGAAATGATGATTTTTTGCACCCCCGGGAGCCTTCTCAGCGGCCACCTGGACCGTCTTCAAGGAGTCCTGGTAGGCCTTTTTGTGGACCCTCTGGGAGCCCAGTTCGGCCATTCCGGGTCCCTGTTCGCGCGTCATGGGTACCTGAACCCGTCCTGGGGCCCTCTGGGGGCCCTCTCCGACCATGTAGGGATCTTCTGGTTGCCCCCTCGGGGTTCCTGGGTACACTCTTGGGATGCGTTGGAGTTCTCCTGTGCTGCTTGAAGCTATCTTCAGGCTGTCTGGGGGCCCTTTTGGGGGCCTCTTGGACCGTCTGGGATTCATTTTGGGAGCCTCTGGGGCCGTGGCGGCCGCTGGTAGAACTGAAAAGCAAATATCCCACCGCTTGACTTTTTGCCCTTGGAGGGCCTTCTCGGCGGCCTCTTGGGCCGTCTTGAATGCCTTTTGTGGCGTTAAAAATATTATGATAACATTAATGCAACCCCAACCACAACTGTGACCAGGACTGGTCCTGGTCACGGTTCTGGTTCGGGACGATTGGAATTCATAATATTATGATAATATTAATGCAACCCCAACCACAACGTTGACCGAGACTGGTCCTGGTAACGCTTCTGGTTCGGGTCGATTGGCATTAACAATATTATAAGAATATTAATGCGACCCGAACCACAACTGTGACCAGGACTGGTCCTGGTCACGGTTCTGGTTCGGGTCGATGGGTATTAATATTATTAGAATAATACGAATGAAAACCCAACCACAATTGTGACCAGGACTGGTCCTGGTCACAGTTCACCTTCCAGACAATCTGGGGCGCTTTGGGCGCCTCTGGGGGGTCTGGGGCCCCTGCTGATCCCTCTGGAGCCCTCAAGGCCCCCGCGGCGCCCCATGCGAACCAGAGGTAGCAATTCTGGGCCTTCCCCCGGCCTACTCCGATAGGTATATGTATATATATATATGTATGTATGTATGTATGTATGTATGTATGTATGTATGTATGTATGTATGTATGTGTGCGTGTGAGTGTGAGCGTGTGTGTGTGTGTTATCCAAAGCGATGTTTGGGATGCGGAGTGGCGTCGGCCGTCAGGCCCGCTCCGTTTTCCTTGCGCCACTAGGCCACTCGGGGTTCGATTCTTGAATCGAAGGACCGCCAGCGTTTCCTTGAGCGTCCATGCGGAAGAGCGGGCTCCCCTGGGGCACGACCTCGAGCCACACGCGCCCACTGGAGAGAAAATGTGTCCTTCCGCGCTGGGACAAGATACAGCGCATTAGGGTCTGATTCAACTCCAAGGGCTAAGTCATCACCCGCGGATTCTGCCAGCACGGGCTCCCGGGCACACACACCTCTCGGAGGGAGAAGGTTCTGGTCCTCAAAGGGGTGGGTGGAAAGGGTGTGTACCCGAACCCGACAACAGACCTCCCACGGTCGGGGATCAGGCGCACAAGCAGTGCCCCAAGCACTGAACCCTAAAACTAGACGAGAACGTGTCGGGAACGCAAGTGAGGCCCCCCCACATGCCGGGCATTTCTGCTGGGGCCCCCCTTCTAACGTCCCCATGCGGTCCTGACGGCCTGGCCCACAAACTTCCCGTCGATCCCTAAAGTCGAGATGCCTGTCACGATACCACTTGCAATCTTCTGCGAAGAAATACGGAACAGGAGGGGAGCGGCCTGGCCATTCAGCACACGAAACTCATAGAAGAGGGCGGACGCGAACTCAGACACAGGCGATCCGCACCCCGCGGATGTGCACGAAGTATATCCGACGATCAGCCCAAGAACAAAGATAATCACATACAAAGTGAACTGCGGTTTCATAGAATTTCCATTCGTTTTTGAAAGGTAGATCTCAGCGTCGCATGCGTCCACGAGCGTCTCGGCTGACTCTCAGACTAGGTCGTCGCAGTAACCCCCACAGCTTCGCAATCCTCTCATCCTTCCGCTTGGGCTCCGATCTTATTTGTCCTGAAAAGCTCGCTGGTAATATGGCTGATCTTGCGATTTCCCCAGGCAGTGGCGATCGCCCCCTTGAGCGTCTCCTCCTTTCCATCCTC